GATCACCTCCAGGGGCTTGTGATCAGTTTCCACAACAAAGGGCTTACCATAGAGGTATTGGTGAAACTTAGTTGCTCCAAAACATATACTCGTCATCTCTTTCTCTATTTGGGAGTAGTTTTGTTGGGCAGAGGTTAGCGATTTTGACGCGTAGCATACAGGCATATCATCCTGTAGTAGGACAGCTCCAAGACCATCTTTCGAAGAGTCTACATTCAGCACTGATGGCTTATTGGGGTCGTAAAACTTGAGAACTGGCGCTGTAGTTATAAGCTTTTTCAGCTGCTCATACGCTTCTATCTGTGGCTTATTCCATTCGAAAATAATATCCTCTTTCAGTAGTTCTCGCAAGGGAGCATTTAGCTCTGATAAGCGTGGTACGAACTTGGCAACATAATTCACCATGCCAAGGAATCGACTCAGTGATTGTTTATCTGTAGGGGTTTTCATCTCAACTATCGCTTTTATCCGATCATCCGAGATACTCAGTCCATCTCTCGACCATGTATGTCCTACATATGTGACTGATGGCACATTAAACTGGCATTTCTTCCTGTTTATCCGATCATCCGGGATACTCAGTCCATCTCTCGACCATGTATGTCCTTCATATGTGACTGATGGCACATTAAACTGGCATTTCTTCCTGTTAAACTTGAGGTTGTTCTCACTTGCTCTTTGGAACACTGCTTCCATTCGATGCTTAAGCTGTTCCTCATCTTTGCCAGAAATCAATATATCATCCACTTGGACTTCAACGCCATCTATTCCTTCTAGAACTTTACAAACTTCCATCTGGAACTTTTCAGTAGATATGTTTAGTCCATATGGCAGACGTGTAAATCGATATCGTCCAAAGGGTGTGTTGAAACAAGTAAGCAACGAACTCTCGTGATCAAGTTCAAGTTGCCAAAATGAGGTTGTCGCATCCAATTTGGTAAACCTCGTAGCACCTTTCAATCTTGTGCTGATTTCTTCTGTTGTGGCAGTAGGGTACGGTTCCCTTTTAATAACTTTGTTGAGGTTTGCAGGATCAAGGCATATCCTCAGAGATTTGTCGCTCTTCTCAACTAAAACTATATTATTCACCCAATCAGTGGGCTCATCCACTTTGGCAATTACTCCTTGTTTTTGCATTCGCTCTAATTCAGTTTTCAATTTGTCTCTCTGGTGAACAGCTACCTTGTAAGGGGGGTGTACCACAGGCGTGACATTTTCTTCAAGGGTAATGTGCACTTTGCTAGGCAGACAGCCTAGGCCTTCAAATATGTAGCTGTAATTAGACACTAACTGGTCTGTGGTCAGTGTGCTGTCAGAGCCAACTGTAGAAATGTTACTTCTGGAAACTAAGCCTAAGAGAATAGCTGATTGCAGACTAATTAAAGTGTCAGCTTTCTCCTTAATTACTATGAATCTCACTTTGTAGTTTATCCCTTCAAAGTTACAAGGCATATCACATTCACCCATGACGTCCAGGGGCTGCCTGTTGTAGGTAAATAGCCTTGTGGTAGAAGCTTTCATAGGGGGGTGTCTTAACCTCTTAAACAGTGCATGTGAGATCACATTGGCCTGGGCACCTGTGTCCACCTTAGCAGTAAGGGTGTGCCCACCTGTTTTTAGTTGTATAATCCAGGATTTTGAGTTGGGTATATCTGGGGTTTTGGCGGGAATCTGGGCTATCTTTGATGTCTGGGTGTCTGGGATTTCAGTGGTTACAGATCCCAAGTACACTTCATCTTCTGAAGATACTGATTCCTCCACCTGGTTCACTTTTCGGGGGTTTCTACGTTTTCCAGATTTGCCTTGCCTCCGTTGTCTAGAGTCCTTTTCACTAGATTTCCCACTACGGCAACATCTTTTAAAATGCCCGAATTTTAAACATCCGTTACACTGCTCATTAGCCGCAGGACACGTGCCTCCTCTATGTATCAGTCCACAGTTGTCACACCTTTGTGACTGCGACTTCTTTACAATACTGACTTCCTCATGTCCACTTTCTGTGCGGGAATTTAGAGAGTTCTTATGGACGTTACTCTGCTCATATAAGCGTGCTATCTTTAGAGCATGGTCTAATGTGAGGTCCTCTTCGTATCTTAGTAGCTTCTCTTGGACTTGTGTTGAATGGCAATGTGTCAATATCGTGTCGGCGATCATCTCGTCAAGATCGGGGAATTTACAGTCTCTGCCAATAAGTCTAAGTTTTGTAACAAACTCGTCAATAGACTCATCCTTCGACTGGTAGCATTCATAGAACATTTTCCTCTGGATCGACCTGTTTTTCTTGGGTGTACAATATTCCTCAAATTTATCAAGGAGGGTTTTAGACTCCTTCTTTTGTGATTCCGAAAGTACCCCAGTGGCAATCCACGATCTGCAAATGTCCCTTCCTTTCTCACCGATGAGAAGGAGAATTTGAGCGGCTTTCTCTTGCTCTTTCCATTTTGTGGCATCAGGAGAATCAAACATTAATTCAATAAGTTCTCTCCATCTCTTCCAATCTTCTGAGAGATTAGGGCCATAAAAGTCTAATTCCTTCACTATCTTTGAGTATCCACTTGCCATTGTTATTGTCTCTGATCTACTTATTCATGTGAGACCACATCTGACACCATGTTGTGTTTTGTATTAAGACTTTATTATACATCAAACATAATATAAGAACTACATAGTTAATGTGTTTCTAGTAGGAAGCCAGACTTACAAGTGTCTGCTATAAGCATGGTAATCTCAGTTAAGGGTATCAGATATCTTACATGTCTTAATGACCAGTACTGAAACCAGATACATAACAATATCCTCGAAACGAAAATTACCGTGATCTTTCTTTGATAATACAATACCATAGTCAAAAACATTGTAAATCCATTTTTTGCCATTTAACTCAGGCACATTAACTTTAATACTCAGTAATGGATGGTGCTGACTGAAGTGGACCACAAAGTCATCCATCTCGTGTGATTTATAACTACAGTGGAAGCATTTGTACCGAAGACCTGAAATACAATGTTTCGATGTACAGTGGTAACTGGTGATAGCCATATTTTTTCAGTTTCATTTATTGTTCACAACAAAATGATTCACATGAATGATGCAGATTGTATGTTTATTATTTTTTCATCAGCACGTCATAAACTCGACGATATAATCAGATCTCAACAGATTTTACTCAAGTAATGTTCGGATTCTGAGATCCTTTACTCAAGATATTTTCGGATCTTTATAATATTACTCGTCGATCACATCGGGTCCGATGTCCGATAACCTCGGATCTTTTAGGACAAAGTTTAAGTGAAGATTTTGCTGTTCAAAAGTGCTATTTTGACCTAATATTTTGACACTTAATATATTATGCATATGCACATATCCATTTACCGACCCAAGTATGTCTTATGTATGGCACATTATCAATTAAAGCGAGTATGAATGAGAAAAACAAATCGAAACCTACTATACGTTTACCTTATCTCTTAATTTGGACATAAAAATATATTTCAACTATAATTCTAGGCCAATTGCGCCTGCTAGAACATCTTAGTAACAACTCTAACCATCCAAAGGAATTGTTAGTGACATTATATTACCTTTATTGTCCATTTTCCTACGAGATGACATTATCAAACATTTGCTCGGCGGTATGTGCGTGTCTTGCTCGGCGGTAGGTTGTATATACACGGGTACTCTTTCCCCTCGTGGTATATGGTATCTAAAGGAATCTGAAGTCTTAATATGTCACCAGTTACCTAAATATTTTATCTAAAACAATTAAACATGCCTAATATGAATAGCCATTAGCACCACAACAGCTGTTTTACTCATTGCATTACAATCATGGCCTGCACAGAATGACAGGTCCTTCACTTTGACTCTTCAAAAGAGGAGGAAAGTTTATTACTCAGCAAGAAATGGCTGAATTGCAGATGGTAAGAAATTTTGCTATTTATTGTTTTCTATACACAATTGTGCCATTAAAGACTTTTTATAATGTAACATAAGATATCTTTAGACTGTCCAGCCTCTCAATGTGAGGTATATTCCATGTTTTTGGCAATCCTCATTGAAGTCATGCTACTTTCAATTATTAATAACTTGATCCAACATTGTCCACAAAGAATACACTTTATAGACAAGACAAGAGTGTAGAGATGTTTAAAAATGAGAACTTTCAGTGATCTACTTTTAGTTGTTTCAAAAGAAGTAGGTCACCAATTTTTAAACATTTTATTGAAACTGGCAAACAAAACTTCTATGTGGAAATGAATTATTTAAGGAGTCAGTAATATTGTTTTGTATTTTCAAACATTTAAAACATTTTTACAGGTTAGTGGCTGATTTGCCAAATTATTGTACATTTTGTATCTTCACTATCTACCTGACAGATTTATTTGTACATACTTTGCCGCAATAAACTTTATTTTTTAAAGAATACAATGTCATGATGAATCATACAGTCTTTCATTCCACCATGGGCTTTCAACTTTCTAATTGAAAGCCCATGGTTCCACGTTCTCATTTTTGAATCAATTGTGTTCCCAAGGAAAGAAGAATCATTCCCTGACTCACTATGAAGGATGCAATTGACATAAGTCATAAGAAAGAAGTACATTAAGTTGTACAATTTGTCTACTTGACAATAATATGGAGTTACAGAATTTTTGACCATGGGGTTGTGTCCAAAATGAATATTGTTGTAATAATGGATAAAATGGAATTATTGTGGTCTAATTATGTGCACTGTGCAGTCTATTTGGCTCATAATAATATATTTGGTAGTACATGGATTCTCTCCTTATCTTATTTCCTTATAAACATCCAAATATTAATCAACAGCAGTTTCAAAATTATCGTATATTGTATTTCACCTAAAATATCGTATATGGTATAAGAGAGGCAAAAAATATTGTATATGGTGAAAAAATATTGTATATGGTATAAGAGGGCTGAAAAATATTGTATATGGACTTCCAAGACCCCCTATACACCCCCCCCCAATGGTAACTCACCAGAGGCAGATGAAAATCCATAAGGGGATTCAGAAGCACCATCATCCAGTCCACTCAGTATTTCTTCCTTCCCTACATCACTGTCTCCCACAAGCAAGAATTTAAGTAGATAGTCATAGCTCTTTTCCTTGGATGGACTCGGAGAGACTGGAGGTGAAATCGCCATTTTTTATGTGATCGATCCGGGCATGATTATGTCCGATTGGCAGAGATTCCTAATATAATGTGAACTCCTATGTTACGCTTACATCTTGTGCTATGATTTTGTAACGTTTAATCTGTAATAGTTGGCTTCTTTTGTGTTATATTTAGGTCGAAATATACGAAAACTGTAAACAAAATTTGCGGATGTGAAAATTTTAGTGCGCATGCGCAATTGGTAGTTTTCACTCCGAGTTGTATTTTTTGGGCAAAAGAAAAAATTTTGAATGATTTACTGTTCTTTTATGATTGGCAGAATGTGCAAAGTCTATCCTTATCTCGTACTACGTTTAGAGGTACCTGAATTTATTTCTAACTGACATATACAGTTGATTTCTTCAAAGGAAGATAGGTTTGAAGTCAATAATGATTTTTTATAATTTTTTATTATTTTTTTTATTTTGTTGACAAACATTTTATGATAACATTTCAATTTGTGTGATGACATTGAGGTATTTAAGCCTGAAGAAATTGAAATGTTGTTTATCGATGGTCATTTATTTACTTCGGTTATAATTGTTTGTTTATATATTGAGTACCCATGTTTATATACCCTTCATTTCAGGCTCAGATATCATCGTGACTTGATTGTTAACTTTGCCTGAATTGACAGACCACATTACACCATGGGATGGACAATTAGTGACATTCTGTACAATGTCGGGCTGCCTCTAAGTGTCGTTTATATCCTTTATGCCTTGTTGTCTCCGCGGCGGAGGAAAATGTCACTTCAGGATAAGGTGGTTCTAATTACTGGGGCCAGTTCAGGACTTGGAAGAGGTGTGTGTTACTTTTACCAAGTATTTTTGATAGCTCTATGCATACCTGTCAATGAAAAAAAACTGAAGAAACACATTTCTATAAAAATCTAGGAACTCCAATTTCAGAACCTTCTGTGAATGACTTTACACTGATGTAATTTGTGATTTGGTAATTTAAATCATGATTGATTTTTAAATGCAATGAGTTGAAATGAAGGTGCAAGTTTTAATGGAGATCTCTGTAAAATTTAGGGGAATGGGGGTCCATCGATTAGTACATGTACATTGGCTTTCAATAGATTGAATTTATCCCGTACCAGGACTATAAATATAGTCCTGGCACGGGATAAGATTGAATGCCCATGATTAATATATTGCTTGAATATCCGTAAAATATGTTTGTTTCAAAGTTAAATATGATTCTACTCTTTACTTTTTTATTTCTACATTTGTAAAAGAATGAATGTACATTTGTAAATATAATATATGCTAGGCCTAGTGCTATACATTGTATGCCAATCTTAGATTTTAGAAGGGAAGCTTAAATATATACCAGTACCAAGCAAGAGAGGTAGTGTAGTTTAACCTTTCTTTTTAGCTTGTGCTCATGCCTTTTATGCTGCTGGATGTAAAGTTATACTTAGTGCTCGAAATGTAGATGCATTGGACAAAGTTAAACAGGACATCATGAACTCAACTGAGGTAATCATAGGTTCTAGGCTGATATAAAGATGGCAGCACCAACAGAATCCAGTATTATCTTTTCAAGAGAAACATAGATAAACACAGATCGATTATTATTATTTAAAAATGATTTCTATCGCTCTTACCCAATTGAAAAAAGCCTATGGAAAATCATCTCCAATTATCACCTAACTTACTATTGATAATTAGTTGAAAGTTAGGTGTAAAAATTCACATGCAAATGAGCTAATTATCAACTTAATTAACGCTTAATTTGCAACTTAATTAACGATTAACTACCATCAATATGCAAATGAGCTATTTACGTAAATTAGTTGAAAGTTAGTTGTAAGTTTGATGTAAGTTAATCTCTAATTATCACCTAACTTACTATTGATAATTAGTTGAAAGTTAGGTTTAAGTCAGATTTGTGACATCTCAAAAATGACTCGCTTCTTTTTTGCTTCCCTTCACTCGGAGATTTTTGCTTCATCTTGAACTATTTTGTGACGGAATATTCATCTTAATTAGGATCTTTCAGAACAGACAACAATGAACTTGAACTATTGAAATTTCACAGCAAGAGGAGGGAAAACCCCATGATTCAATTGATGACATACGATTTCCTCCTTCGCACACCTCCTTTTGTCGAAAACGTACCCTCCATCTTGGTTTTCAAAGTTTTCAAATTGACCTAGTTTTAAACCAATCAACGATCGACTCGCTAAACCAATCAACGATCGACTCGCTAAACCAATCAGCGACGATGTCATCTCAATACAGATTTACATTATAAGCGTATGTCATCTTTGAACCCTGGGGTTTCTCCCCCTCTTTTTTAAAGCTATTCTATTTTGCAAATTTTTAAGATTCATGAAAAGCATGTGAAAACATCATTATTGCCATCAACAACTAAAATCAGAACACAAACATTAGACTATAATGCTATACAATAAGGACGTAACAGATATAATCAAAAATATGTTTTGTGATCTAACAATCATTATTTAGAAGAGCACATTTGGATTACTTGTGAAATATAGGTAACCCATGTTAGTACCTAAATTGCATTCTAGGATTAATATTATATTATCTGATGCAAAAAGATTTTTGAATTCATAAACATTTCAGACAGAAGTGTGAATAAGATTTAACATACATTGTATTCATGTTCTACATACCCTTATAATAATGTTGACCAAATTCCATGGTAGTATACGCACCATTCACGTTGTAATTCTCAATTTTATGAGAGAAATATCTCTCACATGTTTTCTTTTTCCATCATCTTGAAATTAAATTTAGGGGGTTTGTATTTCTAAATCATGGGCCTAATTTACGACTAATTATCATTATAATCATCCTATATGTTAACTATCAACCAATAATCTACTTCAGAACAAAATCGTTTTAATTTACCACTTACTATCACCCTCAAACATTTCATATCTTAACTATCAACTAAAAATCATAAATCAGCATTATTGTAAGTTAATTTACGTTGAACTTGCTACTGATAATTGGGCCATAATTATCATTGATTTAATTAACGCTTAACTTTAATTCCAATTGCCAGCAGAATTGTTGATAATTAGTTGTAAATTAGTTGGTAATAAGTTGGTAATTAGTTTTATTTTTCAATTGGGTAGCCTATGGAGGTAATGTTACATTGATTACTTTAATTATCCCAGAAAGTTCTTAAAGACACTAAAATGTCAAATGGGAAAAGTCTATTACACTGAACTAAGTAGGGAACCAGTTCATTTATCTCTCAAAAAGGTTATTTGTTGCTCTTAGTTCAATGCCACTTTACTAACGAGAGCTGATCTTCAAATTGGCCTCAAAAATGAAAATGAACCATATTTTTGTCAAAAATCTCAACTTTTCTTGGTTTTCAAATTTAATATTATTTGATTGATTCACATAAATGAATTAAACGAAATTGCATTTCCATGTATTTTCAGGCAGGAAAGGCCATTCAGAAATATACTCCCAAAGTATTAAAACTGGATCTATCTGACATAGCGCACATTCCTAAATTTGCTCGTCAAGCTTTGAACTTTTATGATCGTGTAGATATTTTAGTGAATAATGCTGGTATAAGCTACAGAGGGGAGGCTCAAAGTACAACTACTGACGTTGACCTTCAGTTACTTACTGTGAATTATCTAGGACAGGTGGCTTTAACTAAAGGTAACTTTAATGTGAAACAAGTGATTTAAGACAATGGGCATTTACTAGATGTATGTTTTTTTTGTTGATGTCTAATGAAAGATAAAGTTCAAAAGTAAGTCTTTATTTTGCCAAAAATGTTGAAAATACGCCAAGTGAGGCTTTACAGGAGGGTATGCTTATAGTGAATACTGTACTTCTACTAAATTTGGTGCTACTTGTTTTGGAGGATTTGCTGTTGTGAACATCTGGCAGCTACTTAATTTGGTGGACTTGCAATATTAGTTAACAATGCATTAATGGTACTAGTTTACAATTTTACTTCAACAATCTGGCAGATCCGCCAAATTAAAACGGTTGCCAAATTAAGTAGAAGTACAGTACCCTTTACGTCATAGCATATCATTTTTGACTTTACATTTTCAGCCTTGTTGCCGAGCATGAGACAGCAAGGTGAAGGGAGCATTGTGGCAGTTAGTAGTGTACAAGGGAGGATTGCAATACCATACAGATCTGCTTGTAAGTAAACAGTTTCTAGACACTGTCAGAAATGGACATTTGGTATTGAGTCATGCATCCACACTTTCAAAAAGGGTGCAGGGCCAGGGCTGGGCTTTTTTAGATGGAACCTCCATCCTATGTATTTCCCAGATTTTCAGAGCTATCAATAATGTAACAGGTGTACTTTTTTATTATTATGTCACCTCCACAAGTGGTGTCATATTGTTTTTGTGGATAGTGTTTGTCATTTCGCAATTGGTGTTCAGCGGTTAGTGTTCAGCACCTGTACCAAATGGTAGGTGGTGTGACATTTTGCATAGTAACGCCTTGTTAATTTATTATTGAGGCATTGTGTTTGGTACTTAAAGGCCATATCATTCTGTCTACTTCATTTGTGTATGTCACCATATTTAAAATGTAAGTTCAAATTAAAATGGTAATAAATGAATGAATCAAATCTCGATATTTGTTGATTTCCAGATGCAGCATCCAAGCATGCCACCCAGGCCTTCTTTGACAGTCTCAGGGCAGAGGTAGCCTCAAAGAACATCAATGTATTAGTAGTTAGCCCAGGTTATATAAAGACAAATCTTTCTCTAAATGCAGTCACGGCAGATGGAACTTCATATGGAGGTAAGGGGACAATCTCAAATGTTTTACACTCAATTCTGCATAACTGTGATAAATGCGACACCACCCAACCACCCCAGCTTCTTAAAAAACTTTTTGAGAAAGAGTGCTTTTTCTTAAAATAGCAACTCCTAAATATTATTTTCTTGAATGAAAATGGAGTTTTATTTTAAGACACATCAACTAAACATTATAAACAACATTGTGTGTAGAATTTAGTATGAGATGTATGACACAGTGCCAACAACTATAAAAAGAGTTATTCGATGGAATATAGCCCTACATTTAATATGTCACAAGACTTCACACTGTTAAATATATTTTTTCTTTAAAATTTTGGTTAGTCAGTTGCCTGTTTATGCTGGCGGATCTAGGAACCAACAAGGGGGGGGCCCAAATTTCAGGTCAGAGAAAAAAACATCCGCGGAAAAAAATTTTGGGCCCCTAAAACGCAAAAGTGGGCCCAAATTTTAAAATTTTGAGGCCCATTTTCTTCAAAATTTGGCCTGAATTTAAAAAATAAGGCCTTAAAAGGCCCAGTAATGACCAAAAAGGCCGACTTTTGGGGGCCTTAAGGCCTTTATTGGCCCTAATTATCCCATCGAACGAAGTTCGGAGGGATATAGGGAATGCCTCCGTCCGTCCGTCCGTACGTACGTCTGTCTGTCCGTCCGTCCGGGCAATAACTCAAATACCGTTGGCCCGATTTTATTCATATTTTGTACACATATACCCTATGGGGGTAGAAGTTCTGCTCGAAAGCCGATTTTCAAAATGGCCGCTCATTTAAAAATGGCGGCCATTTTAGTGCCGATTTTACAGTAATTTAGGTGCAATATGTAAAACTGTAATAGCAATATGTTTTAAATGTAAAAAAAATTATATAGGACATTAATAAAGCTAGAAATGTAGATATTAAAAAAGCACATGGCAGCCATCTTGAAAAATGGCGGCCTTTACTCGTTATTTTACGATTTTTGCTGTAACTCGAAAAGTAATGGAGCGATTTTGTTCATATTTGGTATGTGAATACTATAAGCATGGCACACTGTCTAATGACACTTTTGGTAGAAGGCTGCCATTTTGAAAAATGGCGGACATTTTGAAAAATGGCCGCCATTTTAACTTATTTTACTAAAACTCGAAAAGTAGTGGAGCGATTTTGTTCATATTTGGTATGTGAATACGTATAAGCATGGCACACTGTCTAATGACACTTTTGGTAGAGGGCGGTCATTTTTCAAAATGGCCGCCATTTTAAAGTATTTTACTATAACTCGAAAAGTAGTGGAGCGATTTTGTTCATATTCGGTATGTGAATACTGTAAGCATGGCACACTGTCTAATGACACTTTTGGTAGAAGGCGGCCATTTTGAAAAATGGCGGACATTTTGAAAAATGGCTGCCATTTTAACTTATTTTACTATAACTCGAAAAGTAGTGGAGCGATTTTGTTCATATTTGGTACGTGAATACGTATAAGCATGGTACACTGTCTAATGACACTTTTGGTAGAAGGCGGCCATTTTTCAAAATGGCCACCATTTTAACGTATTTTACTATAACTCGAAAAGTAGTGGAGTGATTTTGTTCATATTTGGTATGTGAATACCATAAGCATGGCACACTGTCTAATGAGACTTTTGGTAGAAGGCGGCCATTTTTCAAAATGGCCACCATTTTAATGTATTTTACTATAACTCGAAAAGTAGTGGAGCGATTTTGTTCATATTTGGTATGTGAATATTATAAGCATGTCACACTGTCTAATGACACTTTTGGTTGAAGGTGCCCCTTTTGAAAAATGTTCGATGGGATTCGCTACGCTTTGGCATTGCCGTTGTTCTGGTTTTTTTTTGGGCCCAATTTTTTTTTTCTGGGCCCACCCAAGGGGGGGGGCCCGGGCCCCCAGGCCCCCCCCCTAATCCGAAGTTATGCTTTCTGAAAGATTAAACTAATTTTAACAAGTGATAATCTCACCCTTATAGGGGACTGAGTATTCTATTGTAAAGTTATAAAGCTCACATCTCAGTGTATGAAGTTGTCAATATAAAGTTGTTGCAACCAAGAAAACCAAATGTTTACATGTATATGTGTATGCATGAAGTATTATTATAACAGTGGTTAATAAGCCCAAGGTGGGCTGGGTAAAACTGTAATTAGTTTTTTTATATTTTATTGGATTGTAAGACTGACCACTATATAAAAAAAAAACTATTATAATTTCCGTTGATTAAACTGCAAATCATTTTTTCAGCGATGGACGCCACAACAGCCAATGGAATGGAACCCGAGTATGTTGCGAAACGAATCATTGATGGAACATCCCGAGGTTTAGAGGAAATAACGCTATGTCCTATGATGCATAAACTTGCAATAATCCTACGTGCCATCCTACCAACTGTTTATTTTTCCATCATGCGGAAAAGAGCTGAAAAGGGACAATAATGCAGCAATAGTAGCCTATAAAGATAGCAGGAAAAAAGCAGTATTAATAATTCAATTTCTTTGGGGCATACATAAGAGCAAAGGGACATTTATGCATTTAGAGGGACTATTGACAGATGTGATGTCACAAATATAAGAGCCTAGATAGACAGAGAAGAGCCAAAGGGACAGTTATGTTGTAAAGGAGGAGGAGGATCCCTCCACCCATAAAAATGAATTGTTCATATTTATATCATTATCTACATTGTTTTTTTTGATTAAGTAATGAAATATATATTTGTACATTTTAATTTTTAGAAACACATGTTTTGTTTGATTCTGATGAATAGAAAAAGATTTGTTTAATGATCTCTTGATTAATTCCTGGGGGATAACGACTACTTAAATATTCTAAAAACATTTACCTATAATATCGAGATTCTCCAACTATGTGTATTTTACAGATGTTCTTGTATTGAATTTATAGCTCATGTTTAAGTTAGGGAGGTAATCTTGGAAGATCCATGTTTTTCCAAGTCACCCTCAGTATACACAGCTACCGTAATGGACTGGTCACTGCCAACATCTATTTTGCATTTAAATTACCCAATTATCTTGTAAGTTAATATTAACTTTTCCATGAAGGACCACTGCTCATAATTATTATTTGGAAGGTACCCTCTCAGTCATTTTTCTGGTTGTTCACCAATCAAAAACAATTCAGAGCAAAATGTCACCCCCTGCCATTTGTTACAGATGCCAACTGTCACTCTCACAAAAAGGTGGTAATTTTGCTTCAAAAACAATCATTGGCACTGCCCCAGTCACACATCCACAACCATCCAGGTCATTATCAGTAGCTGCGTATACCAAGGGTGTAATTTAGCAATCACAAGTTTGATTGCAAAGGCCTAGTTATGGGTTGGTAAACAATACCACAGGACAGGTCTATTATTTAAATTCTATTTTAGAAGTCTGATCATTAAGGCCAGGGTGCATGTTCGGAATTTTGCTGCATTCCTCAATTGAGTCACATGCTATTTTTCAAACAGGAATCACTCAGTTCCTCACATTGTCTACATCTTCCAGTTTTGCACAGAGTGCTAGAAAAGACTGGTGAGTAGATTTGTTTTGTAAAATGTATAAAAAGCGAGAAAATTCAGTGAAAAAAATTTCTGAAAATTTTCTGAATTTTTTCACTAAATTTTCTTGTTTTTTATACATTTTATCAAAACATTCTTCTCTACATTCTTTTCAAGGTACATTAGTGTACATGCTATGCAAAAGTGAGAGAAGTAGACACTGTGGGGAACAAGTGATTCAAATTTGAAAAATAACATTTGACCCTATAGAGGGTTGCAGCAAAATTATGAACATGCACCCTGACCTTAACAGAGTCAGGGTACTAACAATGATAAGAATAACATTTTTATTTTCAAAAAAATTCTATATTTTTCATGATTTTCTCATTTTCAAGTGGGTAAACAACTGAAAACTGATATTCAGGTGGGATTATTCTAAATGGGAGTAGTGCCCACTTGCACCAGATTTTAAAATTGATTCTGTTGTTTGTAAAAATAACTTTGAAATGACCCCTGATGAAAGCCCTCCCCAAACCATTATCTTTATTGCAAACAAAAATATAGCAAGCTATTGTAACATGTGTATATTATATTCATTTTATTCAATGCTAAATTGCAGAAGATTCTCAAATCTCAGTTAGTCATGGACATTTGTATAAAATGTTGGTAAAATCCATTTATTTCAATACAAGGGTTCCACACTTTTGCAAACTGTGGTTTATTTTCTACAAGGTACAAGGTAAGGCTGGTGAGAGATGTGCACTCCATAAACCACTTCTGTTAGATGTAAATTTAAAACTGTTAAGAGGTGTATTTATATATATAACAGGCTATTACATCAAATCTATTTAAATTCCTGAGAACTCAAAGCCTTATTTCAAATTTTCAATGTACAGTAAAACCTGTGTGAGTGGAACACCTTTGGTACCTCGAAAAAGTGTTCAAATTGTAATTTATTGAATTCACAGTAAACCCATCAATTTTTAAGAAAACAAAGAATATTGTTCTCATGGATCTATTATTTATGTTAAACTAAATATTTATTACAGAGGTTCATTTATCATAAAGTCATGGGACTCTGTCACTCTGGAAATGGTTCCATTTCTGGAGGTGTTCCACTTACAGAGGTGTTCCACTTACAGAGGTGTTCCACTTACAGAGGTGTCCAACCTTTGGTTTTACTGTACTTGAGCTATAAATTAAAAGCTTTAAACTTAAATTACCAGCTCAACAAGAATGATCACTCAATCAAATAACTACATGTAGGCACTATTAATTTCATGTTTAACAGTTTTTCACAGCGTCAAAAAAGCTCAACTATAGACTATTCGTTTGAATGGGCATTGGGCAAGTCACCAAATTGGCATTGCTTCCTTGTGATTATGCTGCCCAGGGCAGCTTGGCTGTTGAATTTTTATAAATAAAGTTAGGAGAGGTATGACTGTCAGAACTGATTTGCTGTTGAGTTAGAGCAGAGAGCTAAGAGTCCCAATCGATGTACAATTGTGCGCCAACATGCCACAAAGTTTAGCTTGGTTTAGTCCATAACTTTGGTCGGACTGATATTCTCATTATCCTGTAGCTGAGGCTAGGGGACCTCGTATCTTGGCACCTGGCCTAGTTACAATCAATGTACCCTATCATGCTACAAAGTTTGGTTTTCATCTTTTCATTTAGTCCATAATTTTGATCACTTACTAGGTGACTTAGGTACTACACCAAAAATCAATCCAAACAGAACTCCTCAACCTCCCAACCTCTATGCAGGTGTTGTAGCTGTTATAGTCTTATTGCATTGCTTACAAATGTACAGTACCCCATGTTGCTAAAATGTGTTGCCAGTTTAAATAATTCCTATAATTTCCTAAATTCTGAGTCATTATTTAAAGAAGAGCTCATAAAGTTTCCACCCGCAAAGCACTGTAGCTGATAAGGCAATAGTGTTATGTAAAAGTTTGCGACGTGTGTCTTCTTTACGAACTAAAACAACAGGCGAACTAGATGCGAGATTACGTAGTGGCAGTTTCTGTAATTTTCTAATGTTATACTCCACTTGGTATTTACAACAGGGGTCAAATTGCCATGAAACTGCATATACGGCTGCACAAGCAACACTTGAAAAACCTAAAGGGTATGTAACATAGCCTACATCAGGCCAAACAAGTCCAGAAAGGAGACTACCGAATCCTGCAAGAACAGCTGTCTTATGCAGACAATTTCCAACCTGGATCCATCTCGCAGTTTCGTCACCTAATTTTGTTGGTTCAATCACGATTGTTTTGATTCCTTGGTAAAGTGCATTGTCTAGCTCTGCTTCAAATTCTTCGTGGGCGTTATCAGATTCGTAAATTTCGCGTATAATTATGTGGCCATTCCCATTGTTTCCATCCTTTGAACTGGAGCTGGAATCGCTGAAAAAACAATAATTGTTAAAGTGTGAATGAAACATCTCGTTTGAAAATTGACCTCCTGAGTACAGAGTAACCAAAACATTTATTTCATTTCTTTATTGTCTCATATTATTGTATTTGTATATTGTATTTATATTATATTATTGTATTGACCTATGTACCACTTTAAATGTTCACAGTTTATCATGTTTATTGTAAATTTAATTATGGGCAGTCATACACCCCCTGGGGTGTCATAGCCTGTATAATGTTGTAATTTTTGTAATGAAAACTGAAATAAATTATTTTGAAATTGAATTGAATTGAAATTGAAACATGCCATTGATTGTAACAATGGACAGTTGAAGGCCTAGCCAAACCAGTCTGGACCAGATATCTATTTCTTATTTCTGAAATATCGTAGATCTACGGCATCAGGGAGTATAGTTCAACAAGTTAAACCTAGTCTGGGCCTTATTTCTTATCTGACATATCTTGTGGCCCGCCCTAGGTTTAACGTCCGTGCCTATTCGGCCCTTGATGCAAAAAATTTAATAGTGGCCTATGGTAGCGCATGGAATTCCATGCGCGTTTAATTCATAACTGATTGTGAGAATTTGCAACAAATGAAAGCATAGCACGGAAGTTAAACCCAACCACGGCAACAAGAACATTCAGATTAATAAATGAAAGCCGTGGTATTGGGTTTAACTTGTTGAACTACAGGGAGTAGAGAACTGGGCCAGACAAATTTGGTTTTAGAAGGCCTTGGGGTTGATTTGTGTGTTTTCTTATTTTTGACATTGAAAAATAAGAAAGACACAAAATAAATTCCATGGCTGCATTTCGGTCCATGCAGCATATGATTTTGGTATGGTTCTGTCAGTGTATGAGGGAGTTATTGTATCCTACCGACCACTTTAGACAATCTAAAGGGGTCGTACGCATGCGATAATGAGGGAGTTGTGTCTTACCGAACAAGAGGTCAGACCCCGGGGGGTTCACTGTATTCAAAATTTGACGTAGGTCCTAGTGTGACGATCCTTCAGATTACTTTGAGCATGGTAATGGGATTGCCTTGAAGGATTGTCACTTTGTTTCACTTTTGCACTTACATACTTTTTGTAGTTACTCTAATTTGTGTTGTATTTAATATATGTAGAACTCTTTAAGATTTTGCAAAAGGGTTGTTGATATAGACAGGCAGTTGCCCTGGACTAAAATTGAGAGTGTCAATTTCATTTATTCAAGATCCATTGAATTCGGGTCCTCACTTGTTTTTATCATGTAACCATAAACTTTATATTTGTATATATTATGCCATAATTGTGTAGAGTAATGACAGCGTATAATTTTTGTTATAAAACTGGTCAATTTCATGTTAGCAACTGTGCTGTAAACTTTCATTCAAGGGATAGCCAAACTTTGGGTTTGTTTACTTTCATCCAAAACGAGGCTAGGCTGGAAATCAGCTGTTTTAGCTCAGTGATTCTGTCTTGTCTGGGGACTCTCTCCATTGCATTGAAACGGGCCGGACGTGTATAACTTTTTAGAATTATAACATTCAAAAACGCAACTCAAAACTGGATATTTATATAAACACAGATATACCAACTTAGGTGAACAAGTTGGGGAAGGTAATTGAATTGATTTTATTGTAATTTTGACAGGTTTTTGACCACTGTAGTATCTTTTATTTTTTTATCTGAGTTAGCGTGTATAACATGTATAAACACTCATTTAAAACTGTTTAGGGGATTTATTGCTAAAGGACTACTGTTGATTTGGATTATATAAAGTTTCTAGCGTCTTTTGGATCAGCTTGAGCTTTGAACTGATTCAGTCTTATTCCATACTGGCAATAACCCCCGCTTACACAGTAAAGCTCCTTCTCAGATAATTGTCTGTAATTGGGCTTTATCACCCACTCCCTAATTTAAATCCCAGGACCTGTTTCTGTGATTTTTCACCGCCAGTTTGGTTGGAGAAACTTCAATAAGAACAGGGGTCACTGTGTGCCGACAAGCCTCAAAGGTCACGGCAAGCCATTTCAAGCCCATTTGGCTTCTTTGGGCTTCCCATTACTATTTAGACTATTTACTGCAACCCCTCCCTTATACATGTTATACCAAAAGCACTGATTGTATTTATTTCTAGTCAGTTTTACACGTCTGGCCTTACTATATATTGTTGCTTATAATAGATACATTATTCGCCATTCTAGATCCTTTAACTTGGAATGATTTCTCATATTATATATCTGTTTTGATTTATAAACCTGAATTTAGAGAGAACGTTTTGAACAATTGTAAATTCGAGAGGTCCCGGGAATTGTTATGGAACATTTGACAAGGTGTACGTAAAGTTATGGTCTTTAGGAACCGATGTAACTTATTCTAAACCAGAGTCAATGTTCCTGGGGTTCCATTGAATAATCTTTATGACCCCCCCCCCTAAATTCAACTTGAAACTGTATTAATTTTATTTGCCAAAGTAACTTTTATTGACCCATTAGAAAACACACTTTTGTATCTTTATATGTGTATGTTCATGCCTGGGTATTTTAAAAGGGATCCCGAGCGTTCTTTCTGATCATAATCAAACAGCTGATCACTGATTCTGCACCCAGTACTTGCAGAGTCAAAGTCAGTATTGAAGCCAGCTCATAAGGCTTTAATCCTATTTGAGATGCTGTCTAGACACTATGACCACCCCCTGACTACATAGCTTGAGTTGGTATAGATTCCATTTAGGGTCTTTTAACCTGACACTTGCTTGTATGGGGTTCTGGTCAGTGTTTACCATCTACCCCTCCCCATTTAGTTTCCATATCTGGTCAATATCTATGTTAACTATATTCCATATAGTTCTTCGATTATAGACAGATTTTATGCAAGAATACTTAATACCTTACCCTTTTGTTTGCTCATTGAGGGGAAAACTACATTCCACTTTTCATGTGAGTAGTATAGGAAGGTGATTTCAACCCAACTAGAGATCATACATAACTGAACTGCTGAACTGAATTGAATTACATTTTTGGAAAGAAACACATTTTGGGCTTTATTGCAAATTGATTTACTGAACTTCCACTGACTTTGCTGTTTTGTGCATTGTGTATGAGAGATCATTTGAGTACTTGATATATCATTTGACTATACTGATTTTGTAACTTTTGTGTAGAATAGTAATAGAAATAGAGTCGTTTTTAAACATTATATAAAAATCCATTTACTTCCACTGTTTTGTTATTTGTGTGTTTAAATGGTGAATTAGTAATATTATCCCCTGATGAGTTTGACAGACTCCTGATTTGAAAAAGCCCTACTTTAAGCATTACAAAGTTTCCCACTTTAATTGTGAAAAGTGACAACTTGAAGCCCATTGTAGCCCTCAAGTGGCTGCAACTTGACTTCCACCTGGTCATACTCACGCCCTAATTTCATACTTATTTGATGCAACTTATCACTGGGCATATTAAGAATCTTGAGTTTGTTGCCATTTGCTTTTAAGAAATATAAAATTTACATTGAACACTGAGATATCTAACTAAGCCTATACCTAGATATTGTTATCCCGTAACTGTTATCCCGAAATTGTCCCACTTCATCCCAATTATTTTTTATCCCAGAATTTATCCCTAAATTATCCCGTAAATTTTCATCGCAAAATTTATCACAATTTTATCCCCTATATATTTATCCCCACTTTATCCCATTTTGTTAGGTACTGTGAACACAGATGTTGTTCAATTAAATAGGGGATACACTTTTCAACTTTTACTTGAACTTGTTCCGAAACTAAGTCAATTGAAACACAAAATCAAACGATTGACTTTTAGACTGTATTCTGTTTACGACCCTCAAACCACGCTACCACACGAGGGTCGCGACAGAAATGTTGGCCTAGCGGTGTGATATAGTACTTTACGTATTGACCCAAGCCAAGTCCTATGCCATTGCTTATTATTTGTTATTTTGCATACATTGCAATCTAGCAATATATATTCCAATTGAAGTGATCAAAATATTCCGGAATGTCAGAAAAATCCAAAATGAAAGCTTTGCCATGTCAAAAGTCCCTATCAGGAGCTTTTGGGTCTATAACACCAGGGTATTTGGATGATTTAGAAGTGGTTTTGGGCCATCAACATCTTAATAAAGATTTGAAACTGGCACAAGATGATACTTTGCCAATAGGATCTCCTGCAGCAAGCAAGATCCTGGTAAAAAGAAAATCTCCATTTAGACCCTTACTCCCCCCAATTAAAATAACTGACATTCCCAGATTTAGACCAAAGACCCAAGAATTCTCTCATTCCCGTAATTTGACACTGAAGTCCCCAATAAATGTCAAACAAGAGAGAAAATATGACTATACAAAGCCAAACTATGATTTGTTGGGTGATTCTAGCAAAGTGGGAGTAGTAAAGGATGTGCAAGTCAACTACCAGGTTCCACCCCTTGCTCCGATGCCACTGACACCTCATGAAGGTGACATGCTTCAGGGAGCATATGGGGGTGAACTGTCAGTACAGCCTTTGCAAAGCCCTTTACTGATCCCATCTGATATAATACCACCCTCAATGTATTATGACCCTAACTTCATGAAATGTTTGCCTAAAGAGACTCCATCAACTGATCAGTCATATGATCTTAAGATGGCTTTCCAGGCTTCAAATGCCCCTTTAGTTGCAAAAGAGATTACTCAATTAAGTGAGCCTGACAAGTTGAAACATGCTGAATTTCTAACTGACCAGACTGTTCCAAACTCGGGTATTAAGTCTAAAAGTTATGAATGTATGCACCAATTCGAAAGTAGTCTTTGTAGACAAGCTTTAAAGAGGCCTAATGCTAGAGTCTTATGTGAATCTAGTGAATCCCCTCCTTGCAAAATCCCAGTTGTTGATAAATCTGATATGTTCAGTTTATCAGACAAATCATCTCAAAGCACTGAGTTTTCTGCCAATTGCAGACAGCCATATTGTCTACCCAAAAGTGTGGATCAGACCTATGACTCAC